TTTTGGTTTTTATAATCACCCATACTTGTGGGTAGGACATTCGAATGCCAATCTGTTATTTATCCATTTATGGGATGTATGCCACTCTCACAGTCTCATTCTCTACAAGACCGGATCTGCTCGTCACACAGGGCGTCTCATTCGTGCCTCACATGCAGATCGTACCATGCATTAGGAGCAGTTCCCGTTCCATTCTCTACCCTCAAAGGAGTTGGGGTGAGGTCCCAACAGCCTTAATTTGCAGCTGTACATTGGCAAGATGTTTCCGATGTACAGATACAACGCATGTTGAGATGAGGTGTGGTGAATCTGTGTTGGGATTAGATCCGGTTTTCCCCAAAGACATGGAAAAAATTTGCCCAACTTTCAGTCATAAAAGAGTGGCTTTTGTTGTTAATGATAATATTGATGACTTAAATTTGTAGTTATCGAGTTAGGCTAATCAGCCAACTACCAGCACCAAATATTCCGAAATCACGATTTATATTATAATTAAATGCTTAAGTAGGGTGACTGTACATGATTCTGGGCCCAGCAAAATCAAGTGTTAGGCTCACACTCGCTCCATTTCAACCAAAAAATGATGAAGTATGACTATTGACTGGGGGGGGGGGATAGCGACTTTGTGAGAGATGCCTCCTTACCTCTTTACTTGTATGTTAAGGTTAACAACGTATGCCGGTGACGGCCTAACTAATTTTTGATTGCTAAATGAAACTTCTGTTAAGTTAGTTGCGTTGGATTGGAATCCATGGTGAGAGTGGAGAGTGGGGAGGGTGGAGATCCACCCAACACCTGCATAATTAATTTAACATCTATGTATCAGCAGTCTCTTTGTGTTTGATTGAGTTTTGGGGTGTTTGTTTGTTAGATACGCAACGCAATCCAAACGTGGAAGCCAGATGTTAAATATTAAATGCTTTGTTGATCGGTTATGAAATTAATTACCTGATACGTCAACGCGTTCAGCCGTATGCTACATAACATAAAATTTATCTTATTTTTAATATCCATCATTCATTGCGTTAATTGGGAAGAAAGCATATATATGCATAGTAGAAACGTGTTGATAAATAGGCTTTCAAAGAAAACAAAAATCTAGAAGAGGAAATTTTTTGGTGCAATACACTCTTCCTACATTGCTACCCACAGGACACTACAACTGTGGAACCAGATTTCCTACTCACTTATTAATCTATTGTGATTACAAAATGTAAAAACGATAATTAATCCACAAATACATAAAAACCCAAGGAATGCGGGTTTTGTATACAGTGTTTTTCGGTATTATTATTGATTGTATCCTCTGTATTTATTAGCACCACTCTCAAGTCTGGGAGCTGACTCTTTCACTGGGTTTAAACAAATTTCTCCACCAGGACCTACTGACTACTGTGAGATGAGATTCCCTAAAACTAAATTTATGAAAGTTTAATAAAAAATATAGATGAGGTCATGGGGGGAGCGTTGAGCAGTTGGCCCACTCCTCCTCCTCTCAACTCTCCAATATCAAACAATTTCTCAGCGATGCATGATGTAACCTCCCTCCCTTCCTGATAAAAAGCAGTTTACCATGCTATACGATTTTTAAATTGGGGACAAGTTTTCCACTTACTGACACAAACATTGAGAAAAGCTATGAGATCAGGTTTTCTGTTCACACACACACACCCCTTGACACAAACAGGAGAGACGCGCTAGTCGCTAGTCGCTACGCATCCTTTACTATAATATCAAAGACACAGACACAATGTTATATTACACATGGTAACCAACGACGACATGGTGTTTTGTGGGACACTGAATGTTCCAGGTGGCTCTCTATCTGACCTAGCTAATACCACGTGGTAAGTTTTGTCCATGATAATGGTGATAAACAATTAATTAATTAGATGGATTTTTGTTTCCACTTAATTATTGAAGAAAATATTCCAGACGACGTGCACTTAAATCATAAATCATCAAGTTTATACTTGATTCTCATTCCTATGAATCCGCTTACAAAAGCGTTTAAAAGGTAGGAGGGGATAATCACATACATACATAGCATATTAATTAACATACCATACCAGACATCTTTGTCTCCTCGTAAAGGCGAAAAAGCGTCCTTTCCTTGACTATTTTCTTGATCTAAAGATAAAAGGGAGTGCATACGGCCGGCCCCAGTGCAAGTTTTATCAGCTAATTAAGACAAAACCCAAATCATCGAATCAAATCAATATAGGATGCCCAACTCTAATGTAATAATTACTGATAATTTCAAAATGCTGCTAAATTCTAAGTAAGTAGAGAATAGATAAAGACAGGATGAATAAGAGGTTATGTATATACAAGGTAAAAAATAAAAAACAAAAACAAAAGGGGGGCAGTCAAAAGGAAAGCATATGCAGGGGGTAAAACGAAAAGTAGGAGAGCTGAGTAGTTTATCCGTACACATGTCGGGTACGGATGGAGTAGAGGGATAAAAACAGATTATACCTTGTTAATCAGTCGCCTGAACCTGAAGTGAAATGGACCTTATTCCAGTATATTTTATGTAATCAGACACGCAAAAGTGTGTAGACCGTAGAGCAGTAGATGTTGTTGCACTGCACTTTCTGTGAACCTTGTTGGCAAGTTAAAAAGCATTCTCTCTAAATTTTCACTCTTTATATATTTATTATTCTTAGTTTTTTTTTAATAATATATAAGCCTCCCTAAGTCTAATTTCATTCATTACCATCAAACACGCTTGGCAACTAATCAATACATACATGCAAACAGGGAATTAAATTTTTTATGGCATGTTAAATCAACGTTTTGATCATGATCTATTTATCTTTATTATTTCATACATATATACTCGATTAGAGGATATATTTTCATATTAAAGGCTTGAATTAATAGTATTAAGGATGTTATTATATCGGATTGCTTGATTATCAAAATTCGGAATTAAGTGACAATTTAATTCATGATCCAATCATTCGGGGTCTGCAGGTGGTTTATATAAGTAGAGTCAACAATTTATTGAAGAAGTTGATTTTAATCATGGGGCCGGGTCAGGGGCATTTAATTAATGGGTTTGAGGTTAAATAAAGCAGACCTGAAAAGTAAAACAATTGGTCTTTGGGAAAAAGCAAAGTGTAGGTAGTTTAATTGTGAAAAGGTTAGTGCAAGTGCATGGGTAGGAAGTAGGAACCTTATCATAGGACGTTTCCTTTTCTTGTTGTAGATTATTGGCGTAGCATCTTTAATTCCCCTCTCGAATGGTAAAAGTGAAGTTAGTGAGTAGTTTGGGTCTAGAGAATTATTCTGCCCTGCGCTTCTTTCACCCTTATTGCCTATTATTCTTTGCCAAAAGAGGATGACTCTACATCTTTAATCTTTATATAATGACCAAACCATGCATATCTATGTATATACAGTTTCCTCCTAACATGAAATGTTGTAATATTCGTTTCTGTAAGCTTGATTCAACTGTATCTACGAGCTCTCGATCAAGACTCAAGTCGGGGTTATTTATTTTTGCCCTTCAACAAAGAAAAGAATACACAATGTAATGTACCGCCTTGTTTTATTCATAATTAATATATGTTGATTGATTCTTTTCCTAGCTCATAAATTTATAATTTTTCTTAGGCTTTGAACTCCATCCTTTTTATTATATATGCTACATCACTTTCATGGTCAGTAACTCTGATTTACTGTATAAAGTTTGGAAAAAATAGAATTATTGAGTTGAGTTCAGGAATCCATCCATGTGGGTCACTGGCTTGCACGTTAAAGGCTAGCTTTAAGTAGCTATTAATATAGTAATAAATGTTTAGAAAAATTAAAATAATAAAAAAAAAAACATGTAAATAAGAAATGTGGTAAATAAATAATTAAGGAGATAAACATAAACTTTTATCATATATTATGATGAACGGTGATGGGGGGTTGCAGGAATCTTCAGAATGGCACAATGTTTTACCTGTTCCTCTCACGAGGGAGCAAGTTTTCAGAGTAAAAAAGTTCTTGCCACGTGTTCGAAGTTAGCTCACCCTTATTTGATTCGAGATCTTAATTTGAACCTCAACTTCAATCCATCGATAAATTAATAAACAAAAAATAATATAGATGGAGGAGAGACCAATTTTTTTTTTTTTCAAGTTTAAGGATAAAACAATTAATGGAATATGCCAATCAAGTGAAAGCAAGCATGGGAAAGAGTCAAATTGATGGTGCTTGACATAAATAATGGGTCTAAAGGTCCTTCACACAGAACTGAGAATTCAACTCTTTCATTTTTAACATCCTTCTACCATTTTTATATTTATTCTTTCTTAAAGGCTTTACACGTTTTTATCTCTCGTTCGTAAATTGTTTTTAACCGTTTCTAGTTTTTCTACTTGTAAAAAAAAAAAGTGTCTGTAGCCCTAAACGGCTAAACCATGCCACAAACAACATTAATATTTATACTTTGGAAATTGGAATACAAAGAAAACCCATCTTAGTTACTACTCATAAGTGTAGCAGGAAAGTGGATCAAGCCATCAAGGTGGAGGATGTTAATTGGCATTTAACTAGTAGTATTAAAAAGTAGTCAAAAGAAGATAACAGCACTAAAGCTTATCAAATATAAATCGTTGAAAGATGCCATTTATAATATATCTATCAACCGGATTTTTTGGTGAGGGAACCGAGTCCGAATGGATCCAAAAACGACCTTCTTTTTTTTATTTATTTAATTTTGAGAATGAAAGCCTCTTACTCTTCAGCAGAAGCACGTTCATGTGTAAACTCGGACTTCGGATAAAAAGACTCGAGAAAACTAGTCTCAAGTTTCATCAATTAATTAATTAACTTATATATTATATATATATATAAAAAAAAAAAAGGAATCTAATGGTTCGTAAAAAATATCTGACTGATGGACCTGAGTGGTCAGTCCTAGCAGCTGCCCAGCTCTCGCGGTCAGTTGCCCCCAACGCCTCACGGGCAGCTCCAAACTCCAAGACGCCAAGACCCCTCTCTCTCTCTCTCTCCTTCTCCCCCTCCCTCCTCCGTCCACTACTTAAACGTTTCCCTTCGACGATCCGTCGGTCGACGCCACCACCTGTAAGGGGAAGGTGGCGCAAGATAAGGTAATCCGCCTATCGCGTGATCGAAGCAAGTCAGAGCGGGAGGGGATGGGTCAGGGGCTCAGTTGCATTGCTACTCAAGAGCATGGGCTCTTCACTGCCGTTCAGGCTGGAGACTTGGATAAAATTCAACTTCTGTTGGAGCGAGACCCAAGTCTCCTGCATCAAACCACTGTTTTTGATAGGCTTTCTGCACTCCATATAGCCGCTGCAAGTGGTCAGATCGAGGTTGGTTTTAGCTCTGCTTTACTTTTTCCTCTTTATTTCCTTTGAGCTTTGTTATTTTCATTTTCCTTTACCTGCGCTTCTGATTGTTTTCCCATTTATGATGGCGGTTAATGGTGGGCAGGTTCTTTCTTCGATTTTGGATCGATCTATTCACCCAGATATCTTGAATCGTCATAAACAGGTAAGCCTTTTTCTCATAATTCTGTGGCTAGATGGGATTTTGTTCTCTTTTGGTCGTGAAATGCTTCATCTTTTGTTTTTCTTCTTCCCCCTTTTTTCTTTCCCATTTTTTGCTATGTTTTTTCTTAACCTCCCCTTATTCTTATCGGTGTAGACTCCGCTTATGTTAGCTGCAATGCATGGGAAGATCTCCTGCGTGGAAAAGCTACTTCAAGCAGGGGCGAATGTATGTAAAATTCCATTCTTTTTTCTCCATTTACTCAATTTTTTTCTGTTAAAACTTGAACTTGTATTGACGAAATTGATATGTTTTCTTTAAAATCTATTAGATTTTAATGTTTGATTCTCTTCACGGAAGAACCTGCTTGCATTATGCTGTGTACCATGGACATTCCGACTGCCTGCAAGCCATTCTAGCTGCTGCTCAATCGACTTCTGTTGCAGATTCTTGGTGGGTATTTTTATTTTATTTTTTTTTTCCGGTTTTGTTTTCGCGTCTTCTGCAGAGAATTGTTTCAAGGCTTTGATTATTTTGTGGCTGGGTTCGAATGACAGGGGGTTTACGCGGTTTGTAAATGTTAGAGATGGTAAAGGAGCAACGCCATTGCACCTTGCAGCCCGACAGAGACGGCCTGATTGTGTCCATATCCTGTTAGACAGCGGAGCTCTTGTATGTTCTTCGACGGGTGGATATGGGTAAATAAACCCTTGCAAAGTACACTCTTTTCCATGGTTTCCATGATAGTTGCTTCTGTGACATTGATCAAGTCCTAATTGCAGCTTCCCAGGGAGCACTCCGCTTCATTTGGCAGCTCGTGGGGGCTCTTTGGATTGTGTCCGTGAATTGCTTGCATGGGGAGCGGATCGGCTTCAAAGAGATTCTTCTGGGTAAGCATATATGTAACTCATGTTAAAGATATGGTGAATGTTTGAATGGTGATGTTTGATCAGGTTCAATCTAGAAATTGCAATTATTCCCCGGATAACTGTAGTTAAGTTCTAGCTCAACATTGGTGAAATAATTAGTTTCGTTTCATCCCCTGTGTGATCTATAATTAGATATCTGTTTGGTCCAAGAAGTATCTGCAGGAGCATACGAAATGACAATCATGGACTAGACTTCCAAAACAACAGGAATTTCTAGATTTCCCAATACTTCTGCCCTTGATCTTATTTGAATGATGTAGACTTATGCTCTTTCTTATCGGATGAACGAAATCATGGGTTCTAGTTTAACTGAACTGTAATCCTGGATGTCTCTGCAGAAGAATACCATACATGGTTGCCCTAAAGCACAAACATAGATCCTGTGCTGCCCTGCTAAACCCATCGTCAGCAGAGCCTCTTGTGTGGCCATCACCTTTGAAGTTCATCAGTGAACTTAATCCAGAGGCAAAGGTCCTGTTAGAGAGGGCCCTAATGGAAGCAAACAGGGAGAGGGAGAAAGACATCTTGAAAGGAATGGCATGCTCTCTTTCATCACCTTCGCATTCCGATATCAGTGTTGATGACAATGTGTCTGAGGTAATTTTTACGTTTTCCTTCTTTTTTTTTAAGGCTCAGTTTGGGAGAAGTACAAATACAAATATGTACAGTGCGCAAATACATACAAAATACAAGTTTTGCACTCTACATATTTGTATTTGTACTCTTTTTCAGGAAAATTTTCTTCAAGACTTGTTCTTCATGCATGACTAATGCCTAGTAGGAGTCTAGACAACCTGAAACTTAGACTGTCAATGATCTCTAGGCTTTAGCCTTAGGTACCCTCCAGTTAGCTATTCAATTGCCTCAAGCTTAGGGCATGGAGGAATATTCTCTGCATAAACATCCCATCTTTTGAACTATAGAAGCCCAAGTAACAGATGCACTTGCATATTGCAATCAAATTCACTTAGAAAAAAAAAAAAATCAATCAATCTCATGCAGGCCAGCGACACGGAATTGTGCTGTATCTGCTTTGACCAAGTCTGTACAATCGAGGTCAGAGACTGTGGCCACCAGATGTGTGCACATTGCACTCTAGCTCTTTGTTGCCATAACAAACCCAATCCCACCACCGCATGCTTGCCTGCCCCAGTCTGCCCGTTTTGCCGCAGCAGCATTGCCAAGCTGGTGGTTGCCAAGGTCAAGACGGAGAGCGAGTCGGACAAGGAGATCAACTCTTCGAAGATGAGGAGGGTGAGGAGATCAAACTTCAGTGAAGGCAGCAGCAGCTTCAAGGGTTTGTCAGCTGTGGGTTCATTTGGGAAGATGGGTGGCCGTGGTTCAGGGAGGATTGCTGCTGATAGCAACGATTGGGTGGACAAACCTTGATTCCTGGCAGTTATTATGGATGGACTGACCAAATTGGTGCAGGAATATCCATTTGGGTATATATGAAAATATAAAAATTTCAGTTAACTATGTAGATTTTGGGTAATGGAAAAGCAAAGGGAGGAGAATGAAAATTAAATAAAGCAAGAAGTCTTTTACAGGTCTGGGTTAGTGGGTCTTAATGTTGTAATCCTTGTTGTTTCCTTCAGATTGAAGAAGCAGTAGTCTTTTCGAGGGTTGTCTATTCCCTGAATAGGAAAAGAATTATCTTTGTTTTCTAAGAAAAACAGTTCACCCCGATTCATACATATGGCTGCTAGACCATAACCAAGTTGCCAACTCCTTTGCTTTTCGCACTTTTTTTTTTTAATTTTATTTCCGAAAGTCTTGGCATGTGTGTTTGCCTTGCCTATCTTCTATTGTCTCCATCTATTTTCCATTATTGATGAGTAGGGGGGATGTGGCCTGTGGATGTAATGTAATATTATCATTTTTTTTATATAAATATAATAAGTTACAGAGTAAAGCTGCAAAGCCTGTTTAGCTGCTAGCTATGAATTGTATCGTGATTACTTCTCTAAATAATTACTTCCATTTTTGGGATAATCCTGATGTTTCCCCCAAATTTATAAACAAAATTTAAAATTATTCCATCTTTTTTTATACATGTAAAGGAAAGGAGATGGAGAATTGATAATGTCAGGATATATATTCTGATTTCTGAGACAGACTTGCAGATGAAGTAGGTGCACGTGAGTCTCTAATACTGATACACTCTTGTACAATGTATACCCGCAGAATAATGCTCATACGGATGTTGATGTAATTGGGGTAACGTGTAGCCTAGCCTATGTATCCCTCAGTCAATAAGTGTATGCTTTTTTTTAAATGAAGAGAGAGAGAGAGAGAGAGAGAACCAGAGACTCAGAGAAATAAAAGCATTGAAAAGAAAAGAAATTAGTGTACGCACCACGTGTCTGTGACTGTGAGACTCCGTTCCCAAGTCATAGATAGACAGAAAAAACTCTTACTACTTTCTGAATTTCCGCTACGCTGCGATTCCAATTGGGATCAATTTTTGAAACCGAAAGTTGGTGGTTCATTCCACCCGAGAAGGTATACTACTGAATTCCCAAGATTTTTCTTTCGAGAGTAGGATCAAATCAATATGGACATCATTAGAACTTCTAAGCAACCCTGGAGTGGAAAGTGTGTGCTTCAGTGAAGGAAAAAGAGAGACATGGAACTTGTTTGGGACACTCAGTCATCCCCCGCTGCTGTGCCAGCTAGGTAAGGCGATTGTGGCAATAAGCGAGAGACGCTAATTCCATTAATGATGCTATTAGTTAGAGATGGAGAGCTTGGGAGTTTGAAGCTCTGAACTTTGAGGGTGTATCTAAAGATTCCGTCTTTAGAATATCATCTGTCCCCACTCATTAGATTGAGTATGCCGTTGGGTTATATAGTAGAGCTTTGGGTAAGAAATTCAACCAAAGTTGAAAATCGTTGAAAGAATGTTTATTTGCACTCAATAGATTGAATTTGTCGTTGGGTTATAAGTAAATCAGTTTTCAAGATAAAACAAGTTTTTTTTTTCTTGTCTTTTTGTGAGAAACTATAATCAATGAAGTTCAAAATTCTTTAAGAAAACTTTTTATGAAATAGCAGCAATTTAAATTGAGAGAGATAATAGCAAAAGAAATTTCTCTCTGTGTATAAAATGGTCTTACCTAAACGCTAAACCCATTTATTTTAGACACTTGGGAGCGAGTTGGGAGTCACCTTGAAAGGTCACTTGAGAGGATTTTTGTAAAATCACGAATTTTAAATTAAGTCCCGTGGGGAATGAAATTTAAATGGATATAGTTTCTTTAATTTTTTTATTGAGGTTTATAGTTAATCACTTCATCTGGCTTTGCTTATATAAATTCTAGAGGGGTAAGTCTTTTACGCCCCTTCCCTAAGCTTTATTGATTGAATTTTAATGACGATGAAAGATTGGAACATGTCTCTCTCAATCACATATGGTCAAGTATTGAACGTGGTAGCAGTAGATATTGGAGTGACATTTGAAGAAGTGATATGATTAAACAGAGAAACAGTGGAGAGAAGGGCCAACTCACCAAATTAAGACAAATGTGTAGGTCCCGTTTTTTGGTGGGGCTTGTTGTTTTCTTGTATCTAAAGAATTATACGGTAGGGATGGGCCACGGCGGCAGGGCTTCTCTACTTCTTTCTAACTTGGGGCCTTCCGGCCTGGGCCCTGGGCCCTGGGGCTGGCATTTAAAGATATTAATAATTGGGTTAGGACTTTAGGAGTTGTTCCCCAACCCCAACCCCCAAACTGGTCGCTGAGATAGTGCCATGTTATTGTTATGTACGACAAGGGTACATTTGTAATTTAAAACCACGTAGAGCCAAGAAGACTGGAAATGTACAATCAAGATTCCAGGATCGATGTAGCTTATGTCCATTTTGGATTAGTTGATGATAGTTGATGGGGGCAGAGGAGACAGCCATGGACGGACCCATTGGAAAAGGTTTGTGGTGGTGGGCTGGGCTGGGCAGTGGAGCCTGCAACTACTGCGGGGAGTTGAAAAGTTGCGACCAGACCAGATGGTGACTTGGGCGATTCACAGATTGCTGCCACGTATATCAATCAAGGGTTTCCTTTTTTTCCTGGTAAAGACTTTTTCATTTTCCGGTTTAACAATTAAAGTCGCCTGTGCAAACACTGTCAACACTCAACCGTATTGATTTGCTTGAGAATTGAGAGAAGATGGGGCTTCGGATTTGGTGGGTTTCTTTCTCAAACCTTCAATTCACTGCCAATTAATTCACAGGGATGAGTTTGGGTTTGGGTCTAAACTTCAATATACTCCGATCCAATGGACTGTTGTTATCCCAGAATAAACGATATTAATGGGTCTAAAGTCTAAACTCCGTTGCTCAAGTGCTGTTTGTTACAAAGCTCTAAAGAATCACAGTTTGCAGTTTGCACATTGCCTAGCTAGTGTATATACTTTGGTAATAGTTTCTTATATATCTATCTAGTGTAGTAGTGTATATATGTTGAAGACACACAGCCAGAGCATACGCTGAGAATGAGATAGTTTACATTTTAATGCGGCAGAGCTAGCTGCATATTGACGGCAAAGTCTTGCCTACGGACAGTTGGAGACTCTGGTGGTAGTAGTAGTAGTAGCTGTCAGCCTGTCACAGTAACAGCAATAGCCTCCCTCTGGTAGTTGGTTGTTGCAATCATGCTTTTAAAAAACGACTCAGAAATGGAACCTTCGTTCTGGCTACTGGTTTTTGGGTCACGGTTCAAATGAATGGATGGCCTGTTCTGATAAAAAAAAACGGTCGAAAACCGTTGAACGGGTCGATAATTTGACTGTCCGAGTCAATGAATCATTGATTAATTCAACGATTTTTTGCCAGGAACCAGGTTTGGGGTAAAAAAGAACCGCTTGCCTGGATGGTTCCCGGGCCAAACAGTCCGATCATCCGGGTCAATGGCAGTTCGAAAACTATGATTGCAACAGACTTCAACAAATGGAATAATATATACACGCTCATATATATAGAAATTGAACCCCATCCTGCATATACCTCAATCCAAAGCTCTGGAATTGGAGAGTTCACATCTCCGCCCCACAAGGGGCTGCCCCACAGCACATCCCCGCTGTGTACTGGGAACATCTCCCGATGATAATACCAGTCTTGATGATGCCATCATCGAGAGATGTTCCCAATATACAGCGGAGATGTGATCTCAGAATGAATTGGAAACCATCTCTGTTCTTATTGGAGATCAAATCAGTCCCACAAGATTATCCCCTACAATGTCCCACAGCAAATCCCTGCCATGTATTAGAAAGATCTCCTAATGATAATAACAGAAATGATGATATCAATGAGTGGGACTGTAGGAAATGTTTCCAATACACGACAGAGATGTGGTGTGGAACGTTGTGGGGGGGGGAAATGTCGTGGGGGGCTGATTTGAACTCCTCTCATTATGCTTCAACTTCCCAGCAACTGTGAATATTAGAAAATTTGGCAACAAAACAAGGATTAATATCTAGACATCACGGCTTCTAAGTCTATTGAAAGAATGAGTTAAAAGGAAAGGTCAAGCTGCAAAGTGTTTTGAGTCATCCAATAATATCTATTAACAATTAATGAAGTTGGTATTGGTCAAGTCAAGACGGCAAGACCACCACAATGTATCCCGTCCCGTGAATCAAATGGTGATGCAATGCTTATCGCTGCTTCTGCGGCTGCTATACATATAGAAAAACCGTCTTCATAAATATCTACAAGGTTAATGGTGGACCAAAGCGGAAGGGTCGTTTTCTTTTACTTGAGAATAAGATGCACTTTAACACTCTTTCACAGGAATTAAATAATCAACATTTTGGGTTGAACTTTCCTAGTTTCCTTCATTTGAATGCGCCTAATCACAAAGATTTTTATTAGTATAATTAAACAAAAGCAAATAAGCATAAGCAGAAAGTTTGGAGGATTCTTCAACCCATCACGCACAAACACACACACAGAGAGGCAGACGTAAGAGACAAGTGAATGTAGGACCATCCACTTAATGAGAGCGACTGGACAAACCAGGGGGAGTCAGAGTCGTAGATGCATCACAATTCACCCACCCCACCTGCGATCCAAATTAAATCATCATCGTTAACGACAAGCGGATCCCTTGTTTGATGAATTTGTTCCTTTCTATTTCTATTTCTATTCATTAATTCCTGCTACTTCCCACACATTAAGTGTTTCTTATATTTGTTCCATTATTTCCTACCTTGAGAAAATCATGGTTCCTCGCTTTTGTGTATAATCTCCCATATTTTGTGAGCGTTTCTCTCATCTTCTCAAACTGTCTGGTAGTCTTGCTTCGTATCAACCGTCTTTTTTCTCCGCAACTCACCATCTGGTTAGACGACTAATTAGAAGTTGTCAAGTTGGACAATCATACAAGGAGACTAAAGTGCTAAGGTCGCTTCTGAATCCGTTGGTTTCAGGGCCAGACTTAACGACAACAAGGTTGAACGGACTACAGAGTGAATTCTATATCCTTTTTTTGAACGATGAGAAGAGTGATCGATAGAATCCAGAATTAATCCACAGACACCTAAGAGGTTACGTCGACGCACTAGAATACCTCGAAATGCTTGTCTGGGTTACCTGCAGATTCTTAAAGGCTGTGTTTGGAATGCAGAATTCAGGCAAGAAATTAATGAATTAAGTTTTGCCCTACATGAAAATCTACGCCGTTTAATAACAGCTTCTAAAATCAGTCTGGATTTCAGGCCTCTTCAGCCAATTTTTCATATTTCACTCAATCGTTATCAATTTTGGCACCAAATTGACGGAATTTGACAACTTGCGGATCGGGCTTCCTCCCTAATCCAAAAACAGCCCCTCCCTTAGATGAAATTACGAAATCTGTGGATTTTTTATTTTCCATTTCAGAATCTACATGAAAGCCAATGTCGGTAGGCTGGTCAAAAGGCCATCAACCCATCCCATCATTGGGGCTGATCCTTAGAATATTACCCCGCAGATCACATCATTCCGATTTCCAATCTAATATCGTCTTTCTTTAACTATTGATTCTATTCTCTGGAAGCTGAGTAGCTGACAACATGGATGTGATCATGGGCTAGGCCTGACACTGGGTCTCGGTATAAGAGACTTAATGTAACCGTGGGCCTGGCCCATCCAACATACCGGGCCTGAATTGTTTGCCTACGCATGGGCCGGGTATCCTGGGCATACCGGGGTTTGCGGGCCTGCTGGACTGGGCTACTGGTAATGATCACCTCCACCTAGTTGTTATTCTGTTTAAAATGGACCACTTGTGCACGTGTTGGTATTGGGATGAATCAGACGCTGGGGAATCTTATTTTCTATCAATGATATTGGTGAAATCTGACCCAATCAAATAAGTAATTCGAACCATTAAGTCTGGACTGGTCCGATTCAATATGCCTTATTGGTTCGTCCAATCCGTCTAAATTGATTTTGATTTGAACGAGTCCAACCCAAAATCAGTCCATTGACACCCCTACTGGGGACTAGCCCCATGTGATGATGGTTGTTATAAGTCGAGGCTTTTTCCTCATACTTCAATTTCAACTTCTAGAACTAACGTTGTTTTTGGACAAGTTTCAGGTTGTGTTCGTAAAGCTGGAATTTTAAGTTTTGTGCTGTGGGGCTTAAAAGTGTTTTGAGAACATTGGCTAGATTCTCAAATTTCTACGGACGGCATCTGTACCTCTCCTTCGAAGCTGAAATCTATGCGTTGAGAGTGAGAGATAGCTAGAATAGAACGAACGTGGTCATTGAATGTGATAATATAAGAGTCTACTGATGGACATCATGAATGGCATATCTACACACCTCCTTTGGTTTACTTGTTACTATCTGAAAGAGGTTTAGCGGAGGGTTGAAGACAGAGAGACCAATAGAACTGCTGATGCTCTTCCCAAAGCTAGCATTGATCACAAAAATAAGAATTAGGTTGTCTTTTGCTTTTAATTGTAATGGGTGGTGGGCTTGAGTTATTAAGGGTGAGATTCTTCTATTGTGGGGTTGGGGCAAGGCGGGCTGGGCTCCCTAGTGCCCTCCCTCAGTCCCTTGTTCTTATATATTAAAATTTCAAGGTGGTCACCCTCCACGGGCTTTAGACTTTAGAGAGAGAAGAGAGAGAATGAAAAACTATTCATTCTCGGACCCCAGTAGGCTAGACGCTAGACACAGGAAAAAAGTGGTGGGATGGAGGGTTAACGATCGAGTTGGTGGACAAGAAATTAAGGAGCGAGATCTTACATTTATGAGCAACCCTTGAATGGTGTATATGAGTACGGTGGAGTCTCTCCATTGGAAGGACACCTGACATCTAGGACTAGGAACCAGAAATCTAGACTAGAAGGTAGAAAGCATCATCAAAACATCAATAACAAGGGGGGTTTCTTCCCATATTATGAGACAGAGAACTCAGAAGGGACCAGTAGTAGCCCAGCAGCATATAGCATATGATATATGATGTAGAGACAATGCACACAAGTACGAGGACAAGTGGGAATTATTAAAAATAAAAAATAAAAAGAAACCAACACGAATACCTAATACAACTGACTATCTTCCATGTAAATGCAAAAGAAAATAAAGGACAAGCACAAGAATCTTTTTCTCGTTACCCAAACTTTCCTTTACATGGGTGATGGGTGATGGGTGATGGGCGATGCGACTGGTTATGGTAAGCGTGCTTTACTTTGCAACACTGCTCAACATTTTTTTATATATTTGAATAATTGAAAAAGTAATGCCCCCTACCCCCTACACGAATTTCTTTTACTTGAGAATTGAGATTGCCCCCCCTCTTCCAAACACACACATACCAATCAGATTAGGGAATCAGAAACAGAAAGATTACCAGCTCACTCTCCAGAGTGAGTTCACAGTCCACATTCCAAGAGATTCCATGAGATGGAGGTTTTATTCACTTTTTCTAAACTATAAAATTCAAAACCCACAATAAATTTGATAAAGAAGTATTCACTATTCAGTGAGATAGTGAAAATGGTGCCTCCCCATCATGATCAGTTGGTAGTTTGTCCACACATACACGACAACAGTACGGGAACACCATGACCACTGCCATGATTCAAGCTTCTGTCGGATCTTCTTCCAACGTCTGAGGCAACCCAGGGACTTGATTGAGGAGGGGCTACCCGGCCGTCAATGAATAACGAGTTTGATTCAGAAGCACTCCCAGCTCGGTCAAACTCTTCGGCTTCGTAAAACACAGGACTGCTCTGATTCCTCCTGTAATCGCTGGCAGCTCTCCTCTCCACCTCAAGAAAATGCCGGAGTGATGGTGCATTGTTTACACTATCCACATCACCGGCATTACCCTTAGTACATAATGAAAATAACCAAATTTTGGGTCGATAATTCTTCTTGACTCTTAAGGCTTCCGCCCTTCTTCCTCTAACTGATCTTGCTGAGAAATCTAGGATACTGGATACGCCGATGAGACTCCCAAGTGTAATGCTCTTATCACGGAAAAAAGACCCGGTCGACTGAAACAATCACGAGATATTAAGCTAAATTTTTGGATTGTCATATTTTATCATTCCATATTGCTTTCACATTTCAAAGTTGCAGAAAAAAAAAAAAAAGTAGTAGAACCAAGGAGAATTTCCTACAATTTAGTGGACTTATTTACGTGCTACTTTTTTTCCCTTCTCCTTGATATCTCTAGGCCCTATACAAAGCACAATCTCCAAAGTTTTTCCAAAGCTACCTTATTTGTTAGGTGTTTTTTTTTTCTTCTTCTTCTTCTTTTGGTGATAATGTGATGAATTGTTAGGTGGTTTTAGTCTCATATTACTTGCATTTGCGAGAGTTTACCGGGGAAGATAGTTTTACATTCACGAGTTAAATCCCACAAGTAAACTACAACATTCTGTGCAAGAGAGAGAGAGATCCAAGCAAGACTAGACGAATATAGTTGTGATTTTTTCAGCTTCGTAGAGTTGGTTGTGTTGTATTCGTAAATGAAGGAAACAAACAAGGAGAAACAAATAGAGAACAGGGGATATATTCTGTAATTTTCACCTATATACGATTTTAGAAAATTTCGAGATTGCCTGATCTCTCTCTAGTACTATAATGGGCCTTCAATTATCTAATGTACGTTTGTTTTCTTCCTTGTTCATTTATGGTGGCTTTGACTGACCTCGGTGTCTAAATCTGATGAAGAATCCGTGGAGGAGCTTGGAGAACCGGTGAGCAAAGTGTTGAAGGAGATTGATCCAGAAAAATCACGAGTTCTCACCAGCCCGACTCTCATATTTAGTGGCTGCAAACCCAGGGGCCATCCATCGTCCTGCCGTAAAACGATAAAGTAAGTCCTTAATTTATCAAGGAAAAATGAAGTAATCCATAAGAGTAGAACAATGTGAAGAAAGAAATTTGATGAAAAAATATGAATAAAGTGAGAAACTAAAGCAAACAAGAGCCAACGCATGTTCAAGAGAAGATTACAGAATAATGAAAGCCACAGAGAACAGAGAACAGCCTAGCGGGGAAAATTCCAAAAAAGAGAAGTGAAAACAAATCAATACCTGTTGAGCCATAGCTTCTCAAGTACTGAGTGATTTACTAAGGAGAGGCCCAGTGAGGTCACCTCAGACTCAGAGGAAGAGATAGTGTCAGGCCCCGGATACTTTCCTCTTTTAACCAACAAAAAAACTGCACAGAACAGTTAACTTGTTTAGAACGAAGACGCTGCACAAGACAACTGCGCAGAGAGGTTCTTCATGCAGTCCCAAAGAGCATCGGCTGATGAAGCAGAGGCAGAGAAAGAGAGAATAACAACTCAATAAAAAAAACAAACAAACAGAAACAGAAAGAAGAGTGGCTCGAAGGAGAGGAGAGAGTGAGGAATGGATGAGAGGTGCTACTTTTTATAAAAGAAGACTTTGTATTCTATACACTATTTATGCTATCGTTGCAGAAGCAGCCTCGGAGTCGGAACAAAAGAAAGAGGAAGCAGAATAAAAAAAAAATGCTGCACGAGATAAAATTACCAGTTACCAGTGGACTCAACCTATAGCCAGCAGGACTCGACTCGATTCGAGGGAGTGAGTGAGGCTGAGGCAGCAGCAATCATCCTAAGTTACGAAAATACCCTCCCAATCAATCTTTCTTGTTCTTGACATGACTCAAACTGTGAAGTGTGAATAGATCCCATCCCATCATCCCAACCCAACCATGTCCCTTGAATAACGGGAAAAAGGAACCTCAAATGCCGGGGCGTCACCAACTGGGCAACCACGAATACGAGCACAAGCAGCTTCCTCCTATTTGAGCTTTCAGCTTTTAGGTGGACTGAAGGTGTCCATATTCTGTGGACCAACGCTTCTCATCAGGCACCCGCCTCGAACTGGGAAGGTGGAACTTGGAAGGCAATATGGATACTTCTACTACTGTTACACAGTGAGTGGAAGATAGAGAGTGAGTGAAAAGCCAACATGAAGGCAAAATCATAGCTAGAAAAAAAAAAAAAAGAGAGAGAGAAAAAAGAAGGGCCGAAACCCTACCCCTGTCAATGACTTTTTTTGTGCCCGTTGTATATTTGCTTAAATAAAAGATAAAAATATCTAATGAAAAGTTCAAAAAATAAAAATATTCACTTTTTTATTAATAACATAAATATAAATTATTTATTGGAGATGTTTCCATTGCATGGTTGAATGTGATTGTAAGGTCGTTGTGAGGTGCCCTGTAAGGAGCAGTTCAATTTGGATGGCATGCAAAGCAATCAGTTATATCGACCCCGGAAGGCCGGAACTATGATCTACTGGACCAAAACTCAAAAGTAATTCTAAATTCTGACACCACACCAGGGTGTGTGGCTTTCGTAAATCATCCCAAGTCCCAACCCATATCTCCGTTTGGGAAATCTGAATTGACCATCCCATTCATTACATTACATTTCCCCTCGACCCACTGCTAAACTTAAATGGGAGTTGGAAATCTCATTGCATAAATTTTCCAGGTGGGGTTCAAATCTCAATAACCAGATCAGAGATTTCTGGCCAAGGTTTTAAATTTCGCAACGTACGGGCTGATACATATCGTTTCAGAAGAATTTCGATACACAAAACATGTCTAATTACAGGGTTTCGTATTTTTTCATCTGTATCAGGTCCCATTTAATAATGTCATTAAATGTTATTTAAGTGAAATAACATGTTAAAAATCACATTGCTTATAACAATAATTAATTAACCGTTATGCCAACATTAATTACTTATTAGAAAGACATGTTTTTTAATACTTAATCTTTCTTGGTGTGGTGGTTGTTTCCAACAAATGCTATAAATTTAATTATTAATATTTATATAATAATAAGATGAATACAAGTTATATTGATTTATTAAAAATTAAGGTATATATTAACTTGTATACATAATAAATATTATCTAATTCTATATATAATAAAAATTAACTAATAAATGATTTCAAAAAAATATTAACTAATAAATAGTAGCATATATACAAACATTTTTGTTCTCTTATTTTTCAATGGTTACTAATTATATCCCGATACTTTATATAAATCATTAAATAATATTTTTTATGTTTAAATAAATTAATTATACTCACATAAAACTCATTTTTATTATTATTCATATTTTTAAGAATTGTTTTAGATTTTCTAGTGTATACATGAGTATCTTGATTTTTTGTCTGTATCTATACGTTTCCAAACTGTATCTCGATACATCTTTTAAAATTACCTTTCCAATACACCTTGCGTTTCCGATACTTTGAAGCTTGTTCCTAACCCATTTATTTGTGTTTCCTTCTCCATGAGAGAGAGAGAAAGCTAACTGGTTGTGCAATTACCAGAACAAAAATTGTCAGAACACTCATCACCTTCGATTGGTATGCTAAATTTTGCGAGAGGGATGGATGGCAGCAGATCCGATGCCATAAAACAATGGGGAACTTCATGTCAATTACCAAACATCCAGGGTCATGACTAATGACTCAACAAGACATGAAAAGAAGATAAGTTAGAAAGAACCACCAAGGGTTACGAAAGGCACATGGATAAAAAGCAGAGGGTTACGATGGTTTCTCCTCCTTGTGTGGTTAAAAAGCTTCATGGGTTTGCATGGAATTTTACTTACCAAAAGCGTCGTGGGTTTGCATGATGAGGATTTGAGGGTATGCACTTACATACCAGAGAAGAGAGAATCCAATAAAGGAAAAGAAACGGTGGCGCTGCTTTTTTGCTTTTGTTGTATGGCAACAAAAGAAAAACGCGCGTAGGAGAGGTGGGGCCTTCCATCTTGAGTGCACTTCTCTCACTTTTTGGTCCACAAAGCAAGCGAGCTCGGTCTCCTCGGCAGCTCAACTGATCCACCTGACACCCTGATTCAGCTTCCCGCCAGCCCAAAGCTTCCCTACACGCAATCATCCTCTAATACATCCAAGACGGACGTAATGATTTGAGTACTACCCCCGGCCCCGGCACCGGCAGAATCGATGATGGGTGCTCTTCCCTGCCACCTACCGTCCATTTATTTGATCCAACGGTGAAGAGGACTAAAAGGGCTGACAAAGCTGTAGCCTGTAGCAGGCTCAATTTTAAGCGTCTCCGTCTCCCTCTAAGACCCAATTTTAATTAATTAATTAAAAAAGAATAAAGAAAACAGAAGAAAAGGTAGAAACAATAGCTTCGGCTTGGGATGATACATACCCGCTTGGGCACACTCCCAGAGTCCGAAATGAAAATTTTTCGACTCTCAATCTTATTATAGTTCTCTACAAAGTATAAACTACAATTGAAGTCGAAAGAATTGGACGAAGACCGCATTTGAGGGGTGACACGACCGCTTGTTGTTGGTTAGACTGTGAAGGAAATTGAAGCAGGAGCTATCTATGGGTTTGGTGAATTTAGATTTCATCGATGAGCGCTGCTTGCACAGGGTCGGTACTCTCCAATCCCTAGCAAATCCTGCACATACACATATATATTTGCTTCCTTCTTTACAAGTAAATAAATAAGGTATGGCATGGAAAAGGCAAAATAACATAGTTTAATTCTCGAGAGACAATATCATGAGTGAACAGATACCACTTGGAATGATGCATACACCAAAGCAATAAAAAAGAAGATACGTGAGCTTTCATACATATAGTGGAGGTGATAATAATGAAGTTGAATTACAAATTCTTAAACGGAACATTGCAGAAAAAGATCCCCCCCCCCTCTCCTTGTCTCTAGCTCTAGTTCTCCATTCTTGTATGGAGGAAAGAGGGGCCAGGGGTGCAATACTTGGACAATACAGTTAAATACTTAAAATTCCTCAGCTCAATATAATTACCCAAAGACAAGTATGTGAAAAAGTTCAAAAGAATCAAAGACGTTAACATCATGACATGTTAAAGACATTTATGCATTGACATCATCATTATTCATTATGAGGAGAGAATCAGAAGGCTTCTCCAACAATTCCTACGAAATCACTGCTCAGTAAGCATGTTTTATGTTCTAGACCTGGTAGATGTTTGCTTGAAACTTTGAATTAATGCATAAACTCCACACACACCTCCCGTCTCACGCCAGATGTTCTTTTCCACACTAACCAGTACAACACCTTGCAGTCTTACCCATTTCAACACCTAAGATATCTAGCAATCAAAGATTTGGAAAACTTGATCCTTCCAAAGACAGATCCCTGACAGAGTGCATTTTTTGTGAAAATTCTGGTGGAAATTGAGCAACCTTTCCAACCAAGAACAATATTCACCTTTCAAAAGAAAACAGTCAATGTCCTTCTCGTGGTCTAAATTCTAATAGCATCAAACTCCTTCACTCATCATCATGCCTTCTTTAAGCAACCATTTTAGATGTCATCAGAATGGGAAGAAAGTGTGGTAGGCACCAAGGAGTATACATGGGCTACATTTGAGGTAGAACATGAGAATTTTGAAGGTTGGATTAGAACTTGTAAGTTTTTTCTATACAAAATCAAATTGCAAATTTAACACCCAAACTGAAGTTGGATGGAGTCTCTGTTTTTATAACCGCAGATAACATAGAGTAATCTGCTTGCCCTTGTGTTCCCAGCTGAACCTGGTGATTGACAATCACCACCACAGGGTCCAAAACAAGAAAATCCACCCTACGCTTGCAGGAAACTCAAATTCACGGCAACTACCTAGAAGTCTAGAAGCCTAGAATAAAAATGACAAAAATATGTTCTTGTTTCACCACTTTGGTCTATGCTAATAAATTTCTTACCCCATAAGGCTGGTCTTTGAGAGCCTCTATAGATAATAACTCGTTTCATTTTTTATTTTTCTTATTTGCCATATTTTCCCTAGTAATATTAATTGATATATTTATCTCTCAAACTCACATCTACACACACTCATAGCATACCCAGGTAATAATTATCATTGGGACTAAATATTAATAAGTGATATCTACTAATTCCTTTACCAAATATATTAGTAGGTTAGTTCTAGGGAAGTCCATGTAATGGAGGTACTTGATGAGTCTGGGTTTGTACTGCATTAAATGAATATTTGACTCTATTTGTTTGGTGAAAGCACTTCACCTAGTTCTGTGTACTTTCTTTTTCTTTAATGAACATTTTCTCTTTATTATAAAAAAAAAAAAAAAAACAGTTAGGGAATAAATGAAAATGAAAAGAAAAAGGACAAATTTAGGGGTTCAGTAAATAAATCAAGTTGTATGAATGTGGGAAGCAATCATTCAATTAATTAAGGATAAAAGAAAGTAGAGATCCATTTATTTAGCAAACATTGTAGAAATTAATTAATGCACATTTAGGCAATTGAAATCAATAAAAGGGAAGAAAAGAGTTGCAACCATGCATCTATATGTTAAGACTTTTTTCCATGAAAATGATGGATCTATGTCAAAGTGTAAATCTTTCACACTTTCATGGTGTATTCCTTGATCAAGTCTATCATAACTACAATGGCATTTACATCACAATTTGATTGGTCTTTATATGTAGGTTATATTTGCTCCACCATTAAAGGATGGAAATATAGTTAATGTATTTCAAAGTAAAAGTTTCCATGCCTTTTATGTTGAAATAAATTGAGCTATAGGAGTCATGCAAAAAATTTAAAGAGAGAGAGAGAGAGAATGGATGACCTGACCTTCCATTTATACCTTGGACAATATAAAAAGAACCAAATGAGAATACACTGAATCAATTTATAATATGCCAATCAAACAAGTCATAATCATTTCTACTATGGAATATATCAGTATAAAGGACTTACTTGACATGCTTTATTTTTAGCTCTAGTTTCTGCTGTGCTGGGAATGTCATGGTTTGGTTTTAAGAATCTTTTCTCACGTCGTTCACATGAGCCCCAACCATCTGAGAACCTACCACCTCTAGTTACAAGACCAAAATAGCAAAATTAAAACAAGATTGTGTCAAAGAGAGACTAGAAAACTAAATTATTTGTTCTGTAGTTATCTGCTAAAACCAGAGAACATACTGCATGTATGCGCGGACAACAAATTCTGCCCTTTGAACATTCCGATTTTCATCAAATTCAATGCTTTTATCCTTGATTTCATATGAGAGGTTGAAGTAAAATGATATCTTCCTCCATCCTGCAGAACAAATAAGGAATTTACTCCAGAAAACAACTGTGTCATTTAATGGCAGAAAGAAGACTCAGAAGTTAGATTATTACCTGACTTCTTTATATATGGACTCCCAGAAATGATAGTGTAATCAGTTTTCTCTAAAATCTGTCCATGTAAACAAGTAGCTAAATGTATCACATTTTCAATAAATGAAATTGAGTTGCCAAACATGAAAGATGGAAGCATGTATCATTAATCCTTTTTTTATCAGCAAGAAAATATTATTAATTCTATTAATATGTGAAAACAAAAGTTATAGTAGAGTGGATGTCCAATCACCAAAAGATACAGAAGACAAATATACAATGCCCAAGATAACATGTCCAGTCACCCATTATTAATTGTATCATTAATCATTTTGTTTCCTGGTAAATAATTCACCAGAAGATAACATGAAGAAAAGACGCATTTTTCAAGAAAAAAAATAATATATTACAAAATCTAAATCAATTGCAACATATGGAAAAGGAGTAAGGATATAATAGTAATTGAAGGTAAGAAGGCAAACAGGTTATATGTTATCATAAACTTCACCAAAAGAAGATGTAACAAAATAATTTATAAATTATGATTGATATACAGAATATGGGAAGCATGCCTAGCTCTTTTGAATTCAAATCCAAGATGAGGTGTTCTTACTATCCAAAAGAATGGTAGATTGAACAAGATATAAATCATGTGTACAATTGTTAAAGGTTAGAAGTCTCAATTTCATACACAATCAGCAGACAAAAGGTGTGATAAGAGCACGTGAAACACTATATAGATAACCTGCAGTAAAGCTTTGAGAGACAAAGAGTGAGTGGGAGACAGAATACAGTTAAGTTTTCCCATTGCAAAAGTGTACAACTTGGAGGAAAGTACATATGTAGAAGTGTTTGCAAACTTGTATAAAGACATGTGAGGCTGCACATTGTGTATGAAACCCAACCTAAGTTAAAACACATGAAACATAAACAAAGAAATGATCCAAGGTAAACCAGTTTCAGAATGACATATTAATCTCAAAAAAAGTTCTCCATATTATTTGAGACTTGAACTTTTGGTAGAAACTCACTGAACATGACAACAACATGAAGCTATGGCCAAAAATATCAGGCTTTAGTTAAGGAACAAAGAGAGATTCTAAGATGATCACGCAATTTCTACAAATGCCAAACAAAAATATCAAGTGCATTGATTCATTGGCATCATGCATAAACGCTGAAGAGAGAATCCACTTAGCACACTTGTGAAGTCTCATGCTAGAGAAGGGATTGTAGTACTCCTTAGAATTACCAAAGTATGGCATCAACTGGTTAGTCAGTTGAAGACCAGACTAACTACATCATCAACTAGTCTGTCAGTACCCATGATGCAGTCGCCCAGGACAACTAAGAAGCAGCCACATCATCAAAGTCAACTAACAACCAGTCTTCCTAGTTGACCACAGAGTTAATTTAACATTTATTTGTGTTTGTTTCAAACTTTTAAAATAGGATTATGTGTGTCTATATATTATTTTTCAATCCAATTTATTTCAGCATCTCTGATCATATGTATTTTGTAGGGTATAGAAAAAAAGAAAAATGCTGCCCTCCCCCACCCCCATCTCAGCCTATCCAACCCCCTTATGTTTGCAAAACAGAGACTGTATACTAAATGTTCTATATCATATCTTTTATTGCATACTTGCAGTTTTTATTAGTTTATGTATGAGAATGCATCATTGTATTAAACAGATATCATTTTTTTATAATCAATCAGTTGGCATCACCTAGGGAGGCCAAAACAACTAGTCATCGCATAACCACATTGACAACACTGCTCCTCTATCTTAATAATCCGACCCTTATTTAGATAGCTCTTACAATGCTTAAAGTGTAGGTATATTGTACAAACTAGGAAGGAGAAAGGCTTAGATGATTAAATCACCGGGGCACCACCTTAGATCAAATGCCAAGTCAACTAATGAGGACGTCAAACTCCTAGCTTATTGAATGGGAATTATTCAATTAAAATGCAAAGATAAAGCAAAAGTAATTACTGCCTTGGGATGATGGGATCTAAATATAGCGGTATATTACTGAAGTCCTGATATCCCCTACTTTGTAAGAGTTCTATGAGTGAGTGATGTTTTACAAGCTAAATTTCCATTTATCATTACTAACTTAACAAGTTAATTCCGGTTAGTGAGAAAAAACATGGAAGGTAAAAAGGGGAATTGCCATGATCTGATACTGAAATTGGAAGTGTTTCACAAAATAATTTGTGTTTATGAACGATAACAGACAACCTTAAGGTTACCTCCTCAAGCTAGTTAGAGAGGTTCAGCCATTACGGGTAAGATGAAATCAAAGTGCAAAAGAACTGTGATAGAAATTAATATAAAAACAAAAGAAGAGAAATAAGGTAGTTACCGCCATTGCCGCATTCTGGTATTCCTTGAAAAGAGAAACAGAAGGAAACCTGCCAGACAAGCTATGCCTCATGTTGTCTGTGTCACCACTTTGCCTGGAATCAAACGGCGAACCATCCGAAACAGGGCTAATTTCTTGCACAGAAAACCTTCCGGCATCTAGAGATGAGTACACCGGCGTCGTTGGTGTCCGCTGCAAATGCTTCACAACGACCATCCTATTCTCTTCACCGGAATAAGCAGCACAGGATCTTGCAATTTTCTGCGGCCGCGGATGAACCCATGGCTCCTGTAGAACCTCACCATCGGCTGAAAACCTAACATCTTCTTCCACCATGTAGTGACTCCTAGAATGTCGAGAGAATTTGGGTGCCGGAGAGGAATTTGAAACCGGACTTGGAGTCTGAATATTGGTATGCTTCAAGGCGAGGGTTTTTCGAGATTTAGAAGACGAATGAGAGGCGGCGGCGGAATCGATCACAGCCCAAAGCGCTGCGTCGTCGAGATCCTTGTCGTCAACGACGGAGAACTGGACTGGCGATGCCATCTTAATTTTATCAAGATAGGGTTTCGGTGGACTTTGCAAAAGAGAAGCTCCCGAAGTTCCAAGTGGACCTCAACAGAGTGCCGGAGCTATAGACGGCGGAAAAGGAAGTAACCAATCGGGTTGTCTTTAGTTCTTTACTAATCTTTTGATCTTTTCTGGTTCACGAGGCGGGAGAGGAGGAGAATACTAAGTAGAGAGTAGAGACCTACCCTTTTTACTCTTCTTTTGAATTCAAATGATCAAAATGGAGGCAACGTCCGCTTCGTTTGTTGTCGGAACGAGTCCGGATCTGCTCCTAACTAGCGCACCTCACACGGACCCCATTCCATCATGAATTTGGAACATCTCCCGTCCTTTGTGGAGATATTCCCAATACACGGTGGCATGGGGCTGTGAGGTTCGTGTGAGGTGCGCTCTGTATGGAACAGATCTCGATTCTATTGAAACACAAAAAATGGAGAGATCGGATCTGTTCCTCACACTGGCACCTCACAGGCACATACTGCCATGCATTGGAAACATCTCCCGTACTTATTAATGAATATTCACTGAAGATGTTCCCAATGCATGGTGGATGTGCATGTGAGGCGCCCATTTGTGAGGAACAGATTCCGTCATGAAAATGGGAGCTATGTGTTTTTATTAGACGTGTATCTCGTGATTTTTGTAAGGCTACACTTGTTTGCGATGTAAAAGTCTATTGCCGGTTCAGTTTTAGTGACATCTGTTTGTACTGTAAATCAAGATTAATATAAAACTCCATTCTCAATTCAGATTTGTCCACATTTTGGTGGAGTGGAGTTTGACATCATAAATCGATGTAAAACCTCATTTATAGTAGGGTTTTACATCGATAATCACATTTTTCAAAGCTCAACAATTCAAAAATCTCAAAGATTTTAAACCGTTTGGTGTGAAACTTCATTGATAGACTTTTACATCAATGAGGTTTTACACTGCAAACAAACACAGTCTTAGGGACTGATCAATACCAACCCAGCCCAAAATGTAGGGATTCGCTTGTGCAAGTTCGACCTGACCCGATTTCTTACACGGGTTGGGCCTGATTTAGGGATGACAATGGAGACTGAAGTCTCTACCGCCCTAGCCCCAATTATATATATAAAGTATTATTTACATTAAATATATATAATGTTATTTATATTATATATCAAAAAATATTTAAAATATTATTTACATTTGAAGTTTTTCCTTTATTTTAAGTAAACATATTTTCCAATAAAACTTTTTTATCAGCATTTTCCGGAAAAAAAAAATTAATTGAAAATTTTCAAAGATTCAAGTCCACGATAAGAAACTTATTTCCCCCAAGGATCGGGGATGGAGAATAATTTTTATCTCCAACAAAGATCAAGATTAGGGACGGGGATTTGTTTCATAGTTGGTCATGGATGGGGAGTATGGTCCCTGTCCCAAAAAGACTCATAACAATCAACTGGTATTGTAAAAGTGATATCCAATCAACTCAGTTTTAATCAGAATTCATGGAGGGTTTTGATAGATCAAAACCTTTATCGTATCATGTCTTTCCAGTATCATATGTTTCCCCTTATATATATATAAAATGATTATGTACATTTGTAAATATAAATTTGTTTATATTTTCAATCAATTCTACTCTTAACTTGGGCTATAAAGCCTAATAAAAATTGACTATGTAATATACATAAATCCTTTTAAACCCAACCAACTTGCTCAGGCCCCATTAACCCAGCCCAGCCTGAACTTGAGCCCAGTCCAAGTTGTGATGGGTTAAGCTTAGGTTGGGCTTGGGTTGATAAACTTGCACTTAACCTCAGGTTAGGATAGGCTCGCGCCCAAAGTTTACAACTTTAGGGTTAGGCCTGGATTGACCTTCAGCATGATCTAATCCGCCCAAGTTGTACTCCTACTGAAAAGCTGTAAATAATCACCTCAACTCCAATCTAGGGCCCATTTAGGAGGGACTGTGTTGATTGAGATGCATTGATTGAGCCACTTTAGATAAGCTACTTGAAATAGTTTCATCATAAAGTCTATTTTTGCGGCTCACGTATGCCTATTTGCATTTTTTTTACCAAACATGTTTTCATGGCATTCAAGGTTTCTCAGCTCATGTAAAGCTAGAAGCCACTACATGAAAGCCCTCTCAAATGGGTATTTAGGGTCCGTTTGATTTGCAGGAATAGGGGTCTGGAATCGGAATGGACTATTCCGATTCCAACTGTTTGGTTGGGCAGAATCGGAATCCCATTCTCATTCCTGCTGGAATGACATTCCCTCATTTGAGGGAATGGCCATTCCCTGCCCCTCCCTTGGGAATGAAATCTCATTCCTGCTGATTTTAATTCTTATTTTCATTCCTGTCTAAACCAAACAGATTATGAGAATGGATTATTCCAGTTCCAATTCCGATTCCAACTAAGAACCAAACGAATTATTAATAGCTTCTTTAAAATGATTTAGTCAACACAGCTAAATCAAAGCTGAAGCCCTTTCAAAAACGGATATCTAATGGATGTTTGGGATTTAAGATGACTTATGTTAGTGTTGGAAAGTTAAGGGCATATTTAGGAGCAAGGACTGAGTTGAGCATGCAACTAAGCTAGTTCAACTGCATTGACATACTCTAGATAAGCCATCTAAAGAGGCTTAAGAATACAGTCCAAAAAATGATTTGGGCTCTCCAGATTTTTTTCACCAAGCAGAATTTAAAGGCTGTCAGTGTAGGGAATCTATTGTTGAAAGCAATAAACCATTGAGCCTCAGCCCTCCCAAACTAGATAGGATTAGCTGAACACAATAGCTGTTCAGCAGGCTGTAGAGCCAACAATAAAACTCTACACCATTCATTGATTCCACAGCCTGTTACATAGTTAAAGCATTCAGCTAATCCAAATTCCTTTTAATTAGGCATTAAGGCTGCATTTGGCGTTTCTTATTCTAAGGATTTATTTACTTTTCGTAATTAAAATGTCTCTATAAAATACTGAATTTTGTAACTAATAGTCCTTGATATGAGAAATGCCAAATGCAGCCTAAGACAGTAAGACTCAATGATCTCAGCTTTCGGTTGAAGCCTCTCCTAGCCCAAGCATGCCCCCGCCCAACACAACTCACAACCATTCTAACCTGGGCCCAACAATGTTTTATGGGAATTGGGAGCAGTTTGCTTCTCAGGCGGTTTAATTGGCTTCTCTGGTGACATCCGGCAAGTGGGTTTGGAGTTTATAAATAGAAAACCAGATCTGTTGAAAGCAACATGAATCTAAACACACTAAAAGCACGGTATCCAGCTATACACTAAGAATATCTCTTATATTTATCATATGTTAAATACACCGGGAGATGTTTTCAATGTGTAGCTGGATGCAATTCTATGAGCAGCTCGCATGACTTTTGCTTTCAGCATATAATTCACAATAGAGTTTCTTTTACAGACAACTATTATACGAATAATTAAGAAATATTAGCAATCTTATTAATTGAAGAAAGCTCCAATTAAGGTTCAAAATTTTGATACGTATTAAGCCATATTAACTGATACATATCGTATCGGGGCCTTAATGCCCCTATGACATCTCTAAACGAAATTCAGAAAAATAATAATAAAAAAGAAAAAAAAAAAACATCGATAAACATTGTCTATAATATGAAGTTGAATACTGGACTAATACGGATATGTGGTTGAACAGTGAACACATGATCAATCAACTGGATTCCTAAAACGCAATGGAACAAAAAAGGGCAGTGCATTCAGTAAATGAGTCAGATAATTGATGTTTTTAAGAGGGGAAACTTTTTCAACAACAAAATAAAGAAGGTATTATTCATCGCAGTAGGAAAGTAAATTATCATCAACTAATCAACATGGAAGGTTAGAGATGGCAAGCGATTAGCCACTATATTCATTGATATGGGCCATATATGGGAACTCGGATTGAGTCGTCACCCAATACAACCCTCACAATCACTATATTAATTAAGAACTATAAATAAAAATATATAAGTATGAAGATATTCTGAATATACCGTTGCAATTGACTGTGATCCCGCCATATGGCAAATATAAGTGAGCTTACGTGAACTTGAGTGAGTGGTTTTGCTAATCTGAGTAAAGGTTATTTAGGACCGGCCAGAATGGCCACACACACCACCCATGTTTCTTAATCCTCTATTAGTGACGTAAGTTACAGCCCAAAAAATCTTGCCATGTAGACAGGGTATATGATGGGATCATGTGGATCAGAGGATTGGACCTGATTTTCTACTTGGAGATATAGTCATGGTTTTTAAAACTGACTTGATGACCGAATGCTCAGCCGAATGCTGGGTTGAAAGGTCTGATCTTTCAAACCGAATGCTCAGCCCATTTTAACAAAAAAATAAAAAACGATCAAAACTGTTTGAACAATTTGAATGATTAACTGTTTGGTTCAGTGGTCCGCTGACCAAAATCAATAGTTTTGAAAAAAAATCCGATTTTTAGGGAAAACAAAATTGATTCCCAATTTTCTGATTCAACCATCTAGTCTGTTCCCATTTTGAAAACCATGGACATAATTGACTTGGATTGACCATGTGCAGAAACATGCGTATATGGCATTAAACATATATAATGGAATAATAAAACAGGATTCATGTAACTGACCCATACGGTTGTGAATTGTGATAGGGCTTGATTGATAATAATGAATAATGACTGATTTTTAATAGAGATAATTAATACTAATATGATTTTAATGTGGCTTCTTATATGTCTAATAATGTAATTTAAAAATAAATAACCACACGTAGCAGATGGTAATTGGAAACACTGCAATGGCCACAACGTCACAACAAATCCAGACTCTCAGCTAACATCCCTTGTATTTTCATCTCTTTTACATCAAAGGTTTTGTGTTTTTACCCCCTTAGTTGTTATGTGTGTGTATGTGGGTATCTCATCCCCCCAACCCTGGTAAAGGTGAGATTTGATCGTACAAGTAATCAGAGACCTTATATATTAATGGAATCAGTTAACACCTTCTCCCCCTACTTGATAACAACCTATATATTTTCTGTCTTTGTGGCTCAAGATTAATCACTACTAATAAGTAGCTAGCATGGTCTAATGGGGATTGAGTATTGGCAAGCTAACTATTGAATTTGATGCAACAAAGTTAGGTAATGAGCTCAAGTTGCAGGTTTTGGATCCCATAAGGCATCAAAGTCTTCCTCCATCATAGCATACAATAATGATCATGACCACCCTATACTTCATTAGCATCAAGTATTGGGCCTTTTTATTTCAGTCAAGAAACTATATTAAGAGAAAGAGATATATACTTTTAGTTAAGCCACATTTCAATTAGTTAGCTAGGTTGGTCTCTTTATTTTTCTATAAAAGTTTCACACCATTTGAATTTGTGTTTAAGAAAATTCAATTAATAAGGTTAGTCATTATTAATGTGGTTCCAGAGTGAGTATTCGAGAGTTGAGTTGATCACATGTCTAATGAAATTGGTGTCATCAGATTGAATATTACATTTTCCTAGAAGAAATGTATATACAAGGGGATTCCCCACTACCCCCTCATTTGTTTTTTTTTTACCTTTTTCTTAACAATTTACCACGCAGATATCTTAGACAGTGGCTTAATTAAAATTGTTCTTCGTCTTCTCAATTCTCACATCAGCCACCCTTCGGTGGCTTTATAGGCCCAAAATGATGCAGCGAACCACATACTATTTATTTATTCAATGCTTCAGAATGAATATAGAAATCTCAGAAATGACAAATGAGGAAGTTCGAAGTTTTTTTCGAACTTTGTAAAAGATTTGTATAGGGGTGTAAGTCGGGTTGGCCCGAGTTAACGGTTTACATTATTTTGGCTTCGAGCTTCATGTTAGATACATTAAAATTTTGATAAAATCCCAATCTTAATTCGAAAAAATTGCACCCCTAATTTATAATGAAGGTTGGGGTTATTTCTACCATCAGCTTAGCAAATGCTGTGGTTTGGATGGAATCGTTTTAGTCTTTTTGGTATAAGGTGAATAAAGTTTTTTTTTTTTCATTTATTTATTTATTTATTTTATTTTTTATATATTCAATGCCATGCACCATTAATAACTTCCTCTTGATCCCTTTTTCCTCAAAATGTTAGTTGCGGGATTCAATTCTACATCAACGCTGAAACACACCAACAAGCCAGCTTCAGTTAGTTAAGGTGGATAAAGTTTAGGTCAACCATTTTTGCCACCATTTATGAGCAGCGAGATTCCTTTGGCTGTAGCCCACAACCATAATTACTTGTCATCCACTGGAAGTCTTTTTTTTTTCAAACAACTATATACAGTTTTCTCCTAGTCAATAGTGGACTTGTTGACGGATGGATATTAGAGTACCCTAACGAATAAAGTAAAGGGAAAATTGTTTATCAGTTCTCTGTAATTTGGCTTGAGTGATAATTTGGTCCCTGAATTTTAATATGTAATAATTCAGTACCTAAATTTTTGAAATATAATAATTTAGTACTTGTTATTAATGAATCATCAGTTATGTATATCACGTGATCTTATGTGTGATTTAAGATTTTTAAAAATATTAAAATTATCCTTGAAAATAAAATACACTGTTCATCATCTTCTTCCTCAAAAAAATGAAACAGAGCCCCAATTCTTTATCACCAAGAGAGAGATCTGGTTGAAAAACTAAATTGAGAGAAAGCTTTGGGGCATCAGTCCTGAAAGCCCAGTCTTGTACCAAATTGTCACTCAAGTCAAGATTCTTGAAAGCCCAAAAAGCAAAAACCTTTCTAGCTAGTTCCCTCACCCTGATTGTCGATGGACAATAGCTTCAATGTGTGTGCCGAGAAGCAACTGTATAACAAAACCATTTTTATGCAACATTTGTTGCTGCCCCAAATATGTAAGAAGCAACTGTGTTTAATTTCTTCACAGCTCCAAAGCTCTGCTCTGCAACGTATCTCCCTCTGTATCTGTGTGTCACTATCATTATCTCCCCTCAATTATTCTATTCTGTTCTAAAATGCAAAACTGTGGCTGTCAATTGGATTGGATTTGGTCCAATCTGGTCTAATCCAACATTGATCCATTTACAAATAGACTGAACTAAATTCGATCTAAACCCCATACAAATCGGATCCAGCCCAGCCCAATTGAAATGCAAATGAACCGGATTGGACACAATTCGGTCCAAATTAAATGTTTTCCCTACTCAAAATCCATAAGAGTCCGCAACGGTCACTATGAAATAACAGCAACAATCAACGGACGGCAGCCTCTCAACACGTACATGTCATCTTTTCATTGGTTGAGAGTTTTGGTAAAGCAACATTCCTTCCAAACTACGTACAGACCCTGGAAGGCTGGAAACTTCGCCCCCTCCCCCGATAATATCCCACCGTCCATCCCTACAAACTTGGAGAAATCTCAGTCGTAGCCTGTGGCATCGCTTGTCCCTTGCTAGTCACCACGTAGCATGCTGAGAGCCGATGTTTTCTATATAAAGCAAAGCCCTTAGACCTCTAGCTCTAGCTCCCCACCCTCAAAAATTACTCCCAATCTCACAAACAAAGCAACCACCTTCTCTCTCTCTTTCTCTCTCTCTGGTTTATTGGGTTTTCACAGAAATGGCGATGATAATCGCACATCAAATCGGTGCCCTGTCTGTGACGCCTGTAGCCTCATCAAAAACCATGAAAGAGTCAGGTGATCAGCCTGTTGCAGTAGTGAGTGTATCAACTCTTTGGAAGACACCCTCACGGCCTACGAACCTATGGCCTAGAACTCAGAAACAAGGGGCGGTGGTCGTAAGAGAGATGGAGGCCAACCTGTTGGTGGCGTGTCAGGCACTTGTGGCGGAGACGGTGATAGTGGAGTGCAGAGATGGAGAAGTGGGAGGTGCGTAGGTTAAGGGCGAGAGGAAGATCCTGGAGAAAGGGAGATACCATTGGAGTTCGTTCGAAGCTTCAAACGAAATACCATTGGCGAAACTTTGAGATGGAACAATGGAGACGCCGAACTAGCCTTAGAAAGTTTCCACACTTCAAGCCTTCAACGTTCAAACTTCAAACAAAAATGAATGGACCAGCGGGCTCGTCCAAACTTTTGGCCTTGTCCACTTCCAGTCCGTTCTATGAATGGACAATTCATGTTCAGACTGATCCGAGTTCATATCAATTTTAGGATCGTCTAAATCCATCCATAAACACTTTCAATCGGATGGAGTCCAACCCGAAACCGGTCCATTGACACCCGACAGTTAGCGGGGATTAGACCTATTCATGAGCCGGACCTGGCTTTCACTCTGCATTAATAGATTTTTCTAAGGCCCGAGCCTGACCCTCATAAAAAGCCCGAAGCCGAACCTGGGCCTGAGCCCGAAGTCTAGCTCATGCTGCTGCTATTGCTGAAGTGACTGAATAGGGAGAGAGAGAGAGAGAAATTATAAAGAAAAATAAAAAGTGTATATATTAAATTATTAATATATATATATATATTAATAAATATTATATATTTTATATTATATAAAATATATATTTTATAAAATATATAATGCTGAGTTGGGCCGAGCCAAGCTTTTTTAATAAATCCCAAGCCCAGCCCAAAATACAGTCGGACTTACTATTTTGGGCCCGCGGTCAAGCCCACGGATCTAATTACATATCCAAACCCGACCGGGTGCGGGCCAGGCCATCAGGTCTAGTGGGGATCCATTTCATTTTATGTATCTAAGTACGACTTTATAAATATAATTGCATGCTATTAATTTAAGTGGATGATCAAGAGATGAGAGAGGGCGGGGCAATAAATTGAGGCCAGGGGTATTGGTGTTGGTGTGTAGCTGACAGGTCCAATTTTCTCTGCTGTATTTGTAGAAGATTCAATATACACTAACAGTATTTAGGTGGCTGGAAGAGAGATGTATAACATTAACAGTCTTTAAAAAGATACACACAAAATGTCAATCGGTAAGTCTGTTTTATCATGTTTTTATTCAATCTGATTTTCGGTTAATACTAAAGCAACGAGATATCTGAGATTTCCTCTTCTGATTTAGTTTTAGCTGCTGAAGGAGCATCCTTTTCATCACTTACAACTGGGGGAAATTGAAAACTGGTTAAAGAAGCCTTGAGCTCACATCTGAAATTTGAATTTTCTGCATAACTAGCTTTATTTTTTGTCTATAGGTTAGTTTTAATTTTAGCTGAATGATTGATAAAAAAAATTAAATAATACTTAAAGGTTATTTGTGTCTTTTCACATACCACTTAACAACTAATTAACAGCAGGTACCGAATGCTTATATTTTAAAAATTTAGATACTGAATTATTATATTTTAAAGTTGGAAGACCAAATTGTTACTCAAACCAAAGTATCAGGAAATACAACTTTCTTCAAGGTTACATTTTTCATTGCCAACCATGTAGGTGGAATCCATGCCACATGACAAACATTTTTTATATATTCAATCCAATCTAGAAGACTAGAACCAATGGTTGGTCGACCTGTTTAAGTAGATTTAACTAAATATAATTATAAAAAAATTGTTATAACTTATTTATTTATTTTTTTGGTCAAACACGGAGATGGGTCATAGGTCATAGGGCATGGGAATGGACCAAGTGGGGGAGGGTGAAGGACTGATCGACCAACTGGGCAACCTAAGCTGAGTTCACCATGCACAACAATACGATCAGTAGGTCTCCTCGATCCATTCCCCAATTACTGAAATATATGACGGAGGGCCCCTTTTGAGTTGGCAAATTAGTTCACATTAACAGTTATTAAATACCACCACCTAAGTTAGATAGATAGCCATGAAGGAGGGCCCTGGAGAAGAGCACAGAGAAAAATGACCTCGCAAATGAATTTTGATGGACGGGTGACAAGTAACAAGCGATTCGGGATCTGCTACTCACAAATTGTACCTACATTCATACCCACAGAATACCATCACCATGTATTAAGAACATCTCCAATGAGATATTTAATTCACAGTTGTCATATCTCGTGGCTAGCAGATCCGAGTTGGTAACAAACAATGAAAAAATAATAGCTAGTTATTTAAATGCTTCTAGGTTCAAACCTTGAACTGGAGTCATTTAAAAGGACCATATGGACAGTTGTGAGTTATATTCAAAGAAATGAGTTTGTGTTGTGCCTGTGGGAGTGAGTGGGTTCATTACTTCATCGTATCACATGGTTAGCTCTCCTACCCCAACCATACACCATTAAAAGAATAATAAGACGCAGCGAGACAGAGACTTGCTATTAAATCCAAATCAAAAGCGACCCATTTCGATATCTCCAACCGACTGCAATTAATTGGGAGGATGGGTTTTGCTGGGGTTCTGTGACCATTATTATTTCCCCTCTTTCTTTTATTAGCTACTTCTCTCGGTTTCTCGAAGTGGGTATCTCTCATTTCATCTATTTTCTTCTTCCAACATGAGGGTGACCGTTATTTCTCGAAATGGCCGAGAAATTATCAAGGGCGGGCTTGAGCTCAACGCTTCGGTATGATTTTCCCCACTTTTTGTTTGATCTGTTCTCCGTTGTTCAAAATATATGTGGGGTTTAGTTTTTACTCAGTTAATTTGTGTTTCCTTTGTTCCGTTCGTCTTTTTATTTGTGGATCTCTACAAATTTAGTCATTAAAGGTTAGCTTCGTTTTTTTTTTTTTTTCTAAAAGTTCCGACCTTTCTTTCTTTTCTTCTCCCTTTTCCTGTTAATTTTCCGGATTTTCTGATTTCGTATTATAAGTCGGCTTTCCTGATCTTGTTTCACTGGCCTGGAAGTCTTAGTTGTTTATCTCCCTCGGTTTTGTCAAGTTTGAAGTTTATGTTTCTTTTCGTGATGCTTTGCAGTCTACGGTGAGCGATCTGCAAGAAGCATTTCACCGTCGAAGTAAGTAATTTACTTTTCATGGTTGCTTAATTGTTGTTTTATTTTTTTCTTCTTTCTTTCTTTAATGGAAAGGCAATTCTGGAGAGATATCATCTTTTCATGTTTAACTTTCTAACTATCGAGCTATAACTCATTTCCCGGTCTGTATTTTGTCAATCAAAAGATAGGATGCTCTATTGTTATATCTTACTCACAAAACAACGGAAAGGAACAGTTTTAATGTTCTGTGACTCAAATTGAAAAATTGTAATCAAAGGATTATTGGGGAAATTTTGTTTAGCTTTGTGCTAGGAATTCTAGCTTCTCAGTAAGCTCCTAGAAAACCTATTTTCCATCTTTCCTTTTCCTTCATCACTAATCGGCCGTTTGGTAACAGCTGAAGTGGCTGAACTGAATGACTTCTTGTTTTGTCTTTTAATGAATATAAGTTGAGCTTCTTAATGGATGAAGCTAAAGTTGGGTTGATTACTATACCCTTGAAATATTTTATATTTTATTATTTCACCATTTTCTCACTAAAATACAAAGCAATAAGCCATTCAGTTCAGCCAACTAAGCTGTTCAAACGGCACCATGCTTTTTCTTTCTACCAAAAAAAAAAAAAAAATCTTTGGCTTAGGACATTGGGAGCTTGGTTTTCCTTTTAGCTGTGTTACAAGTTTGGTTGTTTGGTTTTTTATCTTTTGTTGTTCACAAATGCTTGCATGCGTATGAGTAATCTAAACAACCTCTTGGAGCATGGTGCTTCATTGATCAAGAGGTATTGACATAAGTACATGAAGCAAAAGAGGATAGGTCCAGATCTATACAAATTCTGCAAGTAATGCAAGATTGTGATTCAACAAAAATCTTCTAGACTTGCCAAAAAGCCAATAGAAATGTAACAAAATGTCTGGTATCCTAGTTCACATTGGACCCATGATCTCATTTCTCTAGGACAGAAAGTTTGTTACATAAAAAGAAAGTAACAAATTCGTAATCTGATCAATGGAAAAAGGAAACGAACTGGAACTTCAGAAAAATGAAACTAGAGAAGTACCCTAAACCTTTTGTGGTGTAATCTATCAATTTGGTACTTTACCAGAGAATTTGGCTCAACTGCTCAATGTAATTTCAAAGTCTCAACTCAACAAGGCCTTATCTGAACTATATGACCTCTGCTACTTGAATCCTCTTTTGACTATTCTACTGTATGAGGATATAGTAGCTAAGCGTCTCCTCCAACACATCAGGTTTGTCTCTACATCTTTGCACAGCACTCTCCCTAAGCAATTACTTTGCATTATATGCACTTATTTATATCAAGGGAGGGAAGTTTGGTTTGGTTGTGCAGGGCTAGTGTTCAAGTTGTGCAAAGCTTTTGGCCTGCAATCAAGGTTCAAAGTATCGACACAGCCCTGCAATCAAGGTTGTGCAGGGCTAGTGTTCAAGTTGTGCAAAGCTTTCGGCCTGTATCGGTGATTTTTTTTATGTTTTATTTTTTATTTTTTCAAAACCAGTTCAGAGGGGTCAGTTTAAGTCCCAGCTACCCTCTGAACCATGGTCTGACCCAATACAACCCTTGTAGGAGCATATCGGGAAGCCATTGGCACGATATGTATCGGTCGATACGGTTCGATACGTGTCGATACTTTGAACCTTGCCTGCAATTAAATTGACATGAAAATATAAATAAACGGATTGAGGTATTGCAATGTAGAGATAGAAACACTCCTCCAAATTCTTTTGTCTTATTCTAAATCCCAATTCCCAAACTCAAAATCCAAATCCAAAGTTCTAGATGGCCAGCTGAAATAAGATTGCATCTGGATAAAATTTAGCTAGTTAGGCATGGTGTTAGGGAATAAAAGGTATTTGAGCTCTCATAATTTCTTCTTTGAGAAGCCTTTTTCTGTTCCTTGTTGGGGACTTGCTATATTTAGCGAGTAAGATTATGCTTTTTTCTTCTCCACAAAAATAAGCCCCCACGGCCCCACTGTGGGTTCTAATTATTTCTTCCAGTGAAACATTAAAGATGATCAAACAGTGTGATTAGGAAAATGATGGATTCATAACCTAGTTGAACAGGGGCATTAAATGAATATTTAGATCGTATTCCTGTTTAATTTTTAATTGGTGACTTCACAACACTTCAGTATGCAATGCACTTTGCTTGATTCGTTTTTTATGTAGTATTTGCTTTCTTGGATTTTTCTTGTATTCTTTAAATTGAAGCTAGGGGATACAAATGCCCCCATTTTCTTTCTTTATATGTCATTTCCTTCCTTTTGAAGGAAAAATGCTTTTTTTTTTTAATAAAAGGAAAAATGATGTGAAGAGAATAAACAATACAAATGGTAGGAAAAAATAGAAATATAAAAGGGGAACCATATGAAAGAGGGAAAATACATTGGAGAATCTAAGAATTTTACTTTGGAGAAGCCTTCAAGAGATCTATGTTTTTGGTCTTTTCTTGGAGACAAAAGCCTTAGCCTAAGCGATTCTTGTTGCCCGATTTGTTAAGGATTTGCACCTAATGTGGTGGTTTCTTCGTGTTGAAGTTATCCACTAATGAAAGAAAAGGAAAAGAGAAGGGAGAATAATGTGCCTTTAAATCATGTTTTAAAGTGTACACATATTTCCTAGTATTTCCATGGCATTTCCATTTCCATTGGGTACTGATGGTGTACGATCTCGAAGCTCCTAGCTAGAGAATTGCCTGGACATACTCGCGTGGCGAGCTGGATCAATCTGCAAAACAATGCTCAGAGGGACTGGGGTGGAAGATCCGGTTAGGTCGCTCCGATGCTTAAGTCAGTATTTTGTGTGTTTGCAAGCTAAGTATGAATGCTAGAGAGGTTGGGTGCAAGTAATAGCGCGTACCTTGTCGTGTCATTGGGGTTGGTGCCTTTATATAGGCTTTGTTTGGCGTGGGCTTCACGCACTGCATCTGAGATTTCAGGGAGGTCACCTAACCGGTCCGAGATCCCCGGAGGCAACCGCCACTCACGTTGGCCATCCTTCGGAACACTCGGTACGTGGGCCAACTTCTGAGAAACTTGGGAGTGTCGGGATATGCATACCAAATTTGTCAGCGAGCACAACTTGCAGGTCGCCTCCTGGACCTCAGTCAGGTCGGCAAGCCCTCAAGGGAGGTCGCTCCTCGCGTTAAGGTCACATCGGCTAGTGACGAGGTGCTACAGGTCGGCCTTAGACGAGGTGCTCCTAGCCAGCCCAAGTTGTGGTTGAAGTCGCTAGGTTGGCGGTAAAGGCAAGTTGCCACGTCGGGGCGAAGACGAACTACGATCTGGGACTCCAAATCATCACCTAGGTGGCATTTGGGTGTCGTCCAGCTGTTTCGAGATGCCATGTGTCACAATGTCATTGGAGGGCCAAATCCGCCCTCATTAGGTATACTCTAATCAACAATAACATATTTCCTAATGAGAACTACCATCTACATGAGATAGTATGATAACATGATGAGTTGGTAACAATTGTGTAGATATCGTGAAATAGCAACTTTATTGTCCTTGTAATGGAAATGATGACCACTTTGAGCTGATTCGAAATTCTCATGGATGTGACGATCTTAGTTTTTGTTTGTGTTACTGATTATTTGGTTGATATATTAGAATCATTTCTGCTTTCTGTGAGTTAAATTTTGCTTGAACTTGTTCTATTATGTAGTTCAAACTCTTGAAACCTACAAGATAACTTCATAGCGTTATTTTTTCTATTGATCTTAGTTTCTTCATTTTGTTTGGTGGTTTGGAATAAGTAACAACCTAAAAGGGTGTGTCTATGTTTCCTTTATCATTTCATATTAATATATTGTATATATCCGCATAATTCACAATGTTTTTACCATGTCCAGAACTTTTACAATATTTCCATATGACATTTCTGAGTGTTGGTGTAAATATCAGTCTCACTATTAGATCAGACCATTAGTATGGATTTCTTTTCACTTTTCATGAGAACTTCATATGGAGCTAAAAATACTCTTATCTCTCATATTGCATTATGATATCAGCAAGAAACTTTTCCCAATCACACAAATAGGCACATGCTTCTGATTGTTTAATTTTTTATCATTTCAGTTTGTTTCAATTATTTGTTGGCATGACAAGCTTTAGCATTGTTCCTTTCAATAAATAAAATATAAAAAAGAAGTTAAGAAGGGTTTTAACAGATCCCCTCTTCTTATCTAGTGACAGGAACTTAGCATATAGATGTAAACATAATTATGCATCTAGGTCATTTGGCTTGAGAAAGGATGAATCTAGATGCATATTGGACAACTTAGAAAATTTGATAAAACAAAGCTAGAGGCTCTAAGCTTCTTGCACTGTGGGGCATGGGTATTGTACTCGTTCAATTGAATCAAATTTAAGCTAGTTATTTGGTTTTTGGTTTTTAGATAGGCCATTGCGCTCGGTGCAATGGTAAAATACTGATGAGTGGACAAGCATGAGAATGCGGGTTCAAGTCTGAGAGTGGCCACCTTGTGCAAACAAGTGCCAAAGGTTAGGTCTGTATCCAGTCCATCCCTCCCAAGGCCTTGAACATCTGGGACCAACATTGGGTAGGCCATATTGGTTTTTGGATCTTATTCTCTTACACTGAAATAGTCATCTGTTACTTAATATAATCTTGTGCACTTTCTTTCTCTTATATTATGAACTTAATTTTTTCATATTATTTAGATATTGATACTTGGTAATGTCCTACATTCAACAGCCAGAAAATACTATCCTTCAAGACAGCGTCTCACTCTTCCCATCCAACCTGGATCAAAAGAGAAACCTGTTGTCCTCTACCCCAAGAAAAATGTCCGAGACTATTGTGATGGAAACAGTGAAGAAATTACTGTGGTGTTCAAGGACCTTGGTCCACAGGTTTCGTATAGGACCCTTTTCTTTTGGGAATACTTGGGGCCTTTGCTTATCTACCCCATGTTCTACTATTTTCCTGTGTACCAGTACTTCGGCTACAAAGGAGAACGTGTCATCCACCCAGTCCAGACCTATGCTATGTACTATTGGTGCTTTCACTACTTCAAACGTATAATGGAAACATTCTTTGTCCATAGGTTTAGCCATGCAACTTCACCTCTCGCCAATGTGTTCCGAAACTGTGCTTACTATTGGACGTTTGGGTTGTACATTGCTTACCATGTGAACCACCCTCTCTACACCCCAGTGAGTGACTTCCAGATGAAGGTTGGATTTGGGTTTGGGCTGATATGCCAACTGTCAAACTTCTATTGCCATATCTTGTTGAAGAACCTGCGGAGCCTTTCTGGAAGTGGAGGGTACCAAATACCACGGGGATTTTTGTTCAATATAGTGACTTGTGCTAATTACACCACTGAGATATACCAGTGGCTGGGATTCAATATTGCAACACAAACAGTTGCTGGCTACATATTCCTTGTGGTGGCTGCCCTCATCATGAGTAATTGGGCCCTTGCAAAGCACCGCAGATTGAAGAAGGTAACTATTTTTTACATGCTACTGTATTTTCATTTAGAAAATTTTGGTGAATATGATAAATAGTGGGATTTACTAATTTGTCTTGTAATATCTTGCTCATGCGCTATTTGGATAAGGGCTTTGTTGATGGTTTATAAGCTTCCTAAGATCATACAGCAGCAATACTGATGGGCTACCCC